TACTTAAAGAGGCAGCAGAAAATGTCTTTTCTGTAGGTCCCTTAAGGTCAGCCCAGTTCCTCAGAAAGAAGAGGAGACTGTTAAATGACTCACCTTGCAATGTCCCTTAACACAGTCAGCACAGTCCTTCCCCAAATTCTGCCCCGAGTGAAGAGCTATTCTCCCACTAGTGTAGCCCCCACAGGAAAGGAGCCCTGTTGTCTCTGTAGACCTCACTGCAGTCTGTCCTGCCTCCCTCTCCCCACATACTGCTTGCTGTCCAACTCCACAAGTATTGTCCTTCCCTGGTCTTCTGTGATCTTCATTCTTTCCTTACAGACTGTTTTGCCAGGGTTCTTCTTCAAGGAGAGGGCAAAGCGAGGCATTGGGCTGGGATGCATGTGAACCGCGTGTGTCCCTGTGTATGCACAGATGTGCTTGTGTGTCCGTGACTACAGGTGTGCAGCACAATGCATGCTTTCACACACGTCTATACTTGTGTTTGCACAGATAAAGGGATATATAACTCCACTTATTCAGCAAGGTAGAGGAGCAAAGACCTGCTGTGCTAGCAGAGCATATGGTCCTCTCCCAGCACATGCTATGCTCTTGAGGGCCCAGATATGATGGTCTCCCTGCACCATCTCCACTCTCTCCCTGAAGTGCTGGGCTGGCATGTCTAGCTGTGCTGTGCTTCAACCCTGTGGGAAGAGGAGAGCTGTTGAGACATGGAGTGCCCCTTGGTGGTGTGTCACAGTGGCTGTGGTAAACGTTGCAGGCTGTTCAAGGGATGTCGAACCTTACTTGTTCCTCCCATTTGTGCCGCCCTTACTCTGGAGCTGAGGCGAAAGAAAGCCCTTTTCTCATCACTGCAAGCCCTTCTCTATCAACAACACACACAAGACCCAGACTCCTCCACCCTCCCTGACTCTTCCCTTGCAGTCCCCTCTGTCCCACCATACACAGCCTCCTTGCAGTTAACCCAATTGCATCAGCCTTCAGGAGTGAACGGATGTCTGTGCACAGGCTCCCACACACAGGAATGTGAGAACCTGGGACAGGCCACATTCATCTTCATCGCAGGGAGGCAGCAAGATTGGAAATGGCATGGCAAGATGAGACTGCTGCACGCCCCTGTCACAGGTGCTTAGAGCAGAGCCATTGCAGATGTGACAGCAGTGACACTCCATGAAACCCTGATCAGGTCTCAACCCCAGTCTGCCTGGGCTTCGTTCAGCTCCCCCCAGACTGTCCCTCTGTTGGGCTGGAGACAGAAGAACAAGGTGCAACGGAGAAGTCACAGTGCCTTTGACAGCTGTCTTGCTCTCTAGCTTTGTGCTCTGGGCTTTCTGTGTGAAATGCATGTTCAAAGAAAGTTGTAAGAGGGAGAAAGCACGGTGACAGGTCCCCTACCATCAGGTAATGAGTTGCTTTCCAGTCACCATCTCCATAAGGGATGGGAGACAGGAGGAACTTTTCCTGTTGTACCCACAACTCCGACTGCACCATTCAAACTAGCTCCAGCACAGCGGGGCTGTGCTTCTTTCCATACAAGTGACCAGTCTCAGAGGGCATGAAGACTGGCTCCCATCCCTCTCAGGCCCTTGTAACAGACTTCTCTTCCTCCAGATTTATGATACAAACTGGCAGAACTGTCAACCCCTCTTGGTGGCAATCCCAGCACTGCAATGGAGGGGTGAGATGTGGAAGCTCACATGGCATATCTTGGAGGGAGTTGAAAGATTGACAGTCCGACTCCAGGTAACTCTGTTCAGCTAGCAGAAAACAGCTGCTTGGTTTTCCCTTTGCACTGAAGGGTGTGTGAACCATGGCTCAGCAGTTTCTGGCCTGCTAGGAATGGACAGTATCTCAAATGGGTGCTCCCACCCCCTCCACCGAACACCACTCCTGGCCAACTCGCCTTCCCACAGGCCTCCATTCGCTCATAAGCTCCCATCACCAAGGGCATTCACCTCCTGGAAAAAGACAGGTTCAACTCATGCCCTTTGATTTGCTCTGAATCCGTGATCCAGTCTACTCTGTCTCCATTCTTGCACTGCCCTTCCCCTCCACCTCCCAGAGATTTTCTGAACCCTTAGCTAGATACCTAAGCTGTACTGAATGTGACTGCTGGCTCTCCTCACAGCTGCTCCATCTCTGTTGCTGCAAACAATTTCTAGAATGTTTTTAAAAAGTGTATTATCCTTCCAGAAAGGAGCTGATAAACAGGGGACAGGAGGAAGAGAAGAAGTGGGGAGGAGTCAGGATGCAGTGATGGGGTCTATTCCACACATCTTCTCCCAGCACTTTTATGAAAATAGATGGACATCTATTATGAAAACAAATTACTGGGTGTGCGCAAGAGTCCTTAGGCAGGCAGGGAATAAGTGTCAGTCTTCTGCTTCTAGGTCTACGTGAGCCACATACGCTGCCTGTGACGAGAAAGAGGAACACATCTACCAGATAGATAGCAATCTGTCAGATTTAGTACCTGAAGGACTCTGTGTGTGTCACTGTGTGTGCATTCATGTGCTGCAGTTGCCCTCAGCAAAGGAGGGAATGTGTGATGGTGGCCAGCAGCACATTCACTGGTGATGCCATTCTAGTTGCGCAAGTCGTCCCCTGTCACAAGTTTGCAAGGGCTCCAAGCATGGCTCTCAAAGCACACGGCTGTGAGTGGAAGGTCAAGTTTTACAGACCCATCCTGAGATGCCCTGGCCAATACTAAATCGCACTAGTGTCCAGCAGGCTGGAGGTCAAGGCTACCACTCATAAAGTGCATGTTGCATTGCTGGCAACATTGGGTACCATAGTGTTCACAGCAATGAGGAGATTGGGACATGGTATAGCAAGGAGTTTGGAAATTAATTTTCTGTACTGGAACCTAAGAAAGGCAATGGAAAGTCAAACGTGCTCTCTCTCTTCCTACCTCAGTCTGTAGGAGAGAAGAAACCAGGTCTATCTCCTCCTGACCCTTGTGGTTAATCCGATGGATGGAAATTACACAATCGCCTTTCTCTGTGCTTTGTTTTGCGTCCCACAAGTTGTCCTTCACACCCAGTCCCCGCTAGGAATAATCCCACTCTGCAGTGCGTGGGTATCTGGGGGAAGAAGGGAGGTGAAAGGACATAGGCAGCCTGAAGACAATTGCAAGGATTTGAGATGAGGAGGGACTGTGAAGAGCTTGGATAGACCCTACTGCCGTAGGCATGATCCTGGTAAACTCTAGGGAGGGCTTAGCTTGGATTCCTCTCACTCAAGATCAGATTGTGAGTAGAAGAGAGATTCTGGGATACATTTTGATGGCTTTTGTCACACAGAGCATGAGCCTGAGAGGCACTAGAACAAACATTTCTCACCCAAGTCCTAGGCTTAGGGGCATCTTGCACCAACCAAGAGCATATTTATATTTCTGTTACATATATTGGAGATGTTGGCAAGGTAAAGGGACAGATTCTGAATTCTCCTCTCACCTCTAGACATGATCTTGCCTCCCTGCATTGAACCCAAAGCAGGGGTGAATATGTGTGTGAGCTGCAAGTGGGCAGCAAACTCACTCCGTATCACATCAGTGACAGAGAGATTCAATGCAGGAGACATTTGCAGGCATGAGCAGAAGAAAACCTTCACGTTCCTTCTTCGGGGTGAGCGCGTGCTTCAACTCCAAGATACACTCTCTGCCTCTTGAAATTAATTCAGCGTTCCTGTGGCTTGGGCAAAAAATAACTAGAATGAATAATCGGGCTGCGCTGATTGCCTGGTCGATAGAGCCCTCTTGAGGAAGAAAAAAGGCAAGAGACCAAGACAGAGTCAGTGTTTACTTGAAGAGACCCGAAAGGTAACAGAAGAAATAGCAGTAGCTTATAAAGTCCTTTAACCCTGATGGAGTAATTGTCTCCTGGGAGTCTCAGGTGTTTCCCCGACGCACTGTTTCCAGTTTGCAGGGTTACAGCTCACTACATATTTCCTTTTGTCTCACGAACCATCCCTTCCTCCCATGCTGCCCAAAAGCTGCCTGCTTGTGTAGCATTTTGGGTGCAGTGCAGAGCTGCAGTGGTGCTCAGGCTGCTTTGCTAGGCACAGGAACGTGACACTCTTAAGGCAGAGCATCCTCTACCTTTATCACTAAAATGATCATGTTGCCCTAAGTTTTGGGCTTGTTTCCAAGCTCTTTTTTTTCCTTCTTTGCACAGGAGACAAAAACCAAATAAAATAAAACGGGCTCCAGATGAAACCACTGTGTGAAGGTGGGAATGCCTCTGTGTGTGTTTGTGCTTATGTGTGTGTGGTGTGTACGCACTTCCCATTTTTCATGACTTCTGGCTCAGGCCTTTCAGATACAAAGCCCAGGCCTCTAGGGTAGTACAAGGAAGCCACCTTCATTGGGGGATCATCAGCCAGGAGGAGAGCTAGTGTTTGGGTTTGCGCCCTAGGGAGACCTGTGGTGGTCCCTGAGCCTCAAAACAGAGAGACAAAATACCCAGAGCTGCTTGCCTGATCTTACAGCCGCTCTACACTCAGTTACTCCTTATCTCCCAGTACAACATCTTCGACTTTTTTAAATCTATGACTCAGTTACAGAGCAGGGATTTCCCAGCATTATAGCCCTCAAGGCTATAAGAAGAGGTAGAGAGGGCACTCTTCTGCATGGAAGGCTTCTTATCTTCCCTTGGCCTCTGGTTTCAGATTCAGGTCTTAAATATCAGTGGCCCCTTCTCCACAATCACTACGCATCTGTTGATGGAAGAGAAACCACTGGGGCTTTTCTACTCTGCAACTGATTGGACCATGCTTGGCTGCTCTGAAAGCGTCTCCATGGTTCCTCACAGAAAAATACTCAGGCCTGGTCTGACGGCAAGAGGGGATGAAGGCATTCTGGAGACATTCCTGTCTTCTCTCAGATCCCGACCTACATGCCTGGGGCTATATGGGAGAACCTAAAGGACAGTTGCTGTTGAGTCTTTACATTTGGACATGTCCTCAGACTGCACCTTGCGTTTCTGCCTTTGGTTTGGTAACAGGAAGGAGCAACTCTGCCAAGTTACCCCCTCAGTCATCTTCCTGCCAAGTGGGAGGCAGAGGGAACCGATTTACCCAAATGTCTTCACTGGAAGAGCCCAACATGGGAGGGAAGATGTCCAACAACTACATGTTCCTGCTGCCAGTGACCAGGGCAGGGCTCAGTTTTTGCTGGCGATCTTTTTCTTACGGGCAGATACCAGATCGTAGAAAGGATCCTGTGTGATGCTGGTCCTGGAAATAAGAGGAAATGGGGGCAAAAGTAAGAGATTTCATGCTAGAGATCAGTGCAGGCAACCTAACTGATCTTGCATAGAGACATCACTCACCAAAATGTATGATTGGAGATATGCAGACCCACAGCAGAGAATTTAGCTGTGGCTAGAGATTCTCCAGAAGGGACCTTAAAACTCTTTGAAGTCAAGAGGTGCCACAGTTGCTAGGCTGAAAACATTTCTTTCCACCCCCTTTTTCAAGCTCTGGTAGCCAAATAAACTATGTGACCATTTGTCCCTGCGGCTGGACAAAGGCAAGCTGGGCCCTCCAGTTTTGGTCTCCTCACCGTATTGCCTCAATCCACTCATCTCGTTCTGCTGGTGTGGCTGCTGAGATCCTGTAGGACTGATGTTTGCCTTCAACCACTTTCCCATCCCCATCTGTTTTGCAAGCTTTGATCTTCTTCCCTTTGCAGTTGGGATTGAAGAGCTCAAAGCAGTTCTGTCAGAAAGGGAATAAAATGGAGCAGTAGAGGAGGACGGGGTGGACCCAAGGAGACACTACTGCTTCAACCATGGGTGACAGGTGCAGAGAGCTTCCAAAGGGGAGGATAGCATTCTGTTTCTGAACTGTGACAGAGCCTTTCCTTCCCCATCCCAAGAATCCCCATACAAGTCAGATCTCCAGGCCACCACTCTTAGATAAACACACCCCTTCTGTGAAGGGCTGGAAATTAAAATAGGCTTTATGGAGAGACAGAGCAGCAACAGTTATCAGAAAACACCTTCTGGGATCATCAAAAAACACCTTCTGTCACTCTGCTTCACTCACGAAGTAGATACAACATCCTTGCTTCTGCTTGCCACAATGCAGACAGAAGGCACTTTTCCCAGAGTCCTGACATATCAAAGAGTGAGTATCCCCAAAAGATGCACAGACAAAGAATGTCACTTCCTAGGCAAGTTTTCTAACACCACAGCACTGTCTGGTCTACATGTGCTGTAACTCATTACGGAGCCCTGGGAAGAGAAACTGAACTCACATCTCCTGGTGCAAAATGAGTAAAGAGTCAGCTGTGTGCACTCATGTCTGCCCTTCTACCTGCACACACACACACACACACAACATACAACGGAGCCAGCCAAAGGAAGCTCTCCATGCACACTAGATATTCCCTGGTAGAATACAATCATGTTTAGGTATCATCACGTTTACATGGGGGACAAGGCACTTTGGAATGGCACCTTCCCTCTGAGAAGCATGGTAAGAGTAGGGTGCGTGCACCCTCTCTTCCCCTCGACCTCCCGAGAGCCTGAAGTGGGCAGAGAACCAAGCAATGGAGACTTACTGGCTTTTTGGGATCATCCACCTGCCGGACCGATAGGTTCTCCAGGGGGATAATGCCCAGAGGCTCTTTGTCCTGACAGCAAAGAAACATGAATTAACACCCAAAATGCTCCCTGCCTCTATACCAGTATTTAGAACCTCTCGGATTTCCCAGATGTGTTCCTTTGTGAGGGTGACAAGGGCAGATAGGCCCAGGGAGAGCCCCTCCAGGGAGAGCTTAGTTTACATGAGATCCCAGCAATAGCTGCAGTGTCCATCCGCTCAAGACCAGAGATGAGGAAATAGCACAGAAGCGAAGGGACATCTGAGTTTAGTCTGGGAGCAGGGTAGAAGAGTTGCCCCCTACCCTCGCCTCCTCCCTGGACCCTCAGAGACTCATAATCACCCAGGACACAATTGCCCAACCAGGAATTAAGCCTTTACCGTGGTATATTCAAAGTAGTACAGGCAGTTAGCAGTCAGAATGAACCAACGCCGTTTCCAGGTTTTCACACGTCCTCCTAAAGGCAGTGAGGTTCAAAAGCCATTAGTCACACATTTTGCTGTCCTTCCCACCCCTAGACATGCACACGCAGGCATACCCTCCCAGATCTCCCTGTAGAACAGCCCCCAAGGAGGGGCACTGATGCCATGTGGTGGACACTCACACGCAGAGACCAAATTTTGCTTTGATGGGGCTAGGAATGGGGAGGGGTAAGTGATATCTTTTTGAGTTCCTGTTTGAGCAGGCAGAGCGTGCAGGAGCTGAGAGGAGAGAACAGACGGCTGGTTTCAACAGCAGATGTCAGCCTCACCCCACCGCAGCAGATGGGAGCGAAGGACAGCGGAGATGCTGGCGGGTTACTGGGAGAGATTTCTGGTGGGAGGCAGGGAATTCAGAGGAGCTAGGGGAATCGTCCCCTTACCTAGTTTCAGGAGCCAGCCTTCACGATTAGGGTTGAAGAAAGTATGCGTGAGGTCATTCCCATCGTCCTCTGGTATGGAGAATGGCTCATTCTTTATGCTCTCAAACAGATTCTGCCCCAGTGTTGGGGGAGGGGGAAGAAAAAGGGAAGCAGAAAGGAAAAAAAAAGATTGATTTTTTACAAAGCTTGTACACAACTCTCTTAGGTCCATCTTGTTCACGACTCTCTTTCCGCAGGGGCAGGAGTGTGAACAGGGAGGGGAGCAGGCAGTGAGCACTGGGGGTACAACAGCCCTCAGTCTACACCTAACAGGCTCTCAAGGGGGAACACCAGCTCTTTTCTCCATCTTGTGTCATTAAAAAGAAGGTGTCCAATTTGGAAACTCACAGTCACAAAAGTGTGCACCCATATCAAGAGAGGCTGCAGTGACCAAACCCAGCATGCCGTGCAAGTGCCACTGTGGGTGGTGCTAAGGCACTGGGTGAGGGACAGATAGAGCAGATACTGCAGCCCCATTTAGGTCCTGGGTTGGTGGTGCCAAACACTCTGCTGAGAACTTGTATGAAGAGACGCACACATCTGCATGACCACAAGGAGGCACATTTCATAAAACCAAGGCTTTTACACTGAGGAACACGAACGGTGACATTTATAGCAGCAGAGTGACAGGGAGGCAGGTTACTAGCTTAAAAGGGACACCAAAATGTAGCTCACGTCATTGGATTTGCCATCACAAATCCCAAGCCAAGAAAAAAACCATCGAACTACAGATTCCTGCAAGTTCCCTCAAACTGTCTGAAAGAAATGACACTCTGGAGCAAAATCTAAAGCCTTTACCCTGAGGGAATGCTGCTCAGCAAATCCAGGTGCGCGATGTAGGCAGCCTCTTTGACACAAGTTATTCTCCCCAAGCTGGTTGAGTGAAGTTGGACTCATGTCAGCAGGCTGCCCACCTCTACCTTGCCTCATAGGGCAGGTGCCATGTCTGCTGAGCCTTCTGCAGCTCCAGCTTTGCTTAATGGATGTATTCCCTATCTCTGTCTTCCCTGTCCCCCATCTTCATCCCCTGGGATCAGAGGCAACACGGACCTGCTAAGAGCTTTACGGATGCTGGAAGAAATGCTGGACTCTGACACTCATATGGGGTTTGTTGGTTCTATTTGCTCAAAGATATGTCCCACTTTAAGAGAGGTAGGGCACTGGTGTCCTGGCTGATGTGAACGTTGGAGTCAGCTGAGACATTAAGGTACAAACAAAGAAAGGGAATTCATATTCTGGGCCATGGTGACATTATCTCACACTTAGAGATACACAGGCAACAGAGAGTCCCCTTGGGGTCTTGGACTTTCAAAGCAGGCCAAAAGAGTCAGCTGCCTCCCACAGAGGTGAGTGCCCCATTCACACAGCCTCACACCTACATGGCACACAGACACCCGCAGCTCATGTCTTCCTCCCTGACAGTTACAATATTTGTTCATGTATCACATTGACACAGTTAAAATCACAAACGTACTTGAACTGATACTACTGTTCCCTGAATGTCCCCAGCCCTGTCTCACTTATTTCATATCCTCAACAATAAGCATGTGTGCAGCCCCTTTCCAAAGCAGTTTATACTCTTCCAGCTTTTCTTTTGTACATACTGCCCTCTTTTCTTTCTCAGCCCTTTCCCTTCTACCGCAGGAGGTCAGTAGTCCTGTGTTACACTTAGACCTGTGGACTTTTGCTTCTAAGTGGACCTCAAGCCAGAGAGTAGAGCATGACTGAGGAGAAAATGGGAGGTCTCCTTACCTTTAAGAGCTCTTCTGGCAAGTCTCCTCCATTGTCAATGCCTCTGTTGATAGATACAAACCTTTCAAAGGGAGGCTTGTCTTTCACATTGGGGTTGTGCAGGCTGGTGTTCAGCATGATAATAGAGAAGGACAGTACATAACATGTATCTGGCAATGAGAAGAAAGAAAAACAGGATGGCTTGGTTTCCAGTCACTCTAGGCAGTAGGACGAAAAGGGACATGTCCCATCTGCTAGCAAAAAGAGGGACAGTTGATTGCTGATGGAGGTGATTCTATCCCCTCAGGGTAATGGGGCAAGCTGGGTAGGTCTAGCCCACAAACACCTGTGCCAGCAGGAAAGTTTCTTCAAATCCATGTCTGTCGGTACTACCCTTGCTGCAATGAGGAGTACCTTATGTGGGGCTGGGAGCATTTCTCAAGTCTGTTGTTCATGGGGATGGACTACAGCATAGTTGTAAAAGGAGGACTGAAGACACTCAGTCTATTGAAAAGTTACATGGGAACTGGGCTGACTCATTCTGTTTAAGGGGAAAAAATCCACGCTTCCAAGTGGTGCCCTTTGTGCTTTATGAATGGAAAAGGAAGGCTCCTCTCTCTCTAGCAAACAGTGAAGCTCAGCTTTACAGGCCTTCATGTCCCCAGAACTACCTGTAGACTGGAATACTCCTGGGTTACACTTGCAGTACCAGTTGGCAAAGGCCTCCATCATCCGATCAATCTTCTGCGCTTCCCCAGGTAGCCGGAAGCTCCATAGGAACTGTCTGTCAGGAGCATTGTGCCAGAGTTAGTCATATTGGGTGCAAGGAACATTTATCTCTTCTCTCAACACATGGGTCACCATGAAAATGAAAGAAGTCATCCCATCACACTGCAGAGACAACACAGTGCATGAGGCAGAAGCTCTGCTTTTCTCTCTAGAAATTGCCTGGGCTCATCAGCCTCAAACACCTTAAAAGCAGGAAGCAGAAGAAAATATCCAGGATATCATGGCTTCTCTTTCGTAATGAGTGCACTGCAAGGCAGGAGAGACCTCAAGAGCAAGAGTCCTGCCAGGAGGCTGGCCTTTAAGAAAAGATGATGCCCTAAGACAGAGTCACTTTGTCTCTGACATAACGGGCACTGTGGACAGACGTGTTTCCTGGTGCAAAACATAACTTGTCCAATTTCCCCAGCCACTGAAGCCACATTGACCCACTTTGCTTTTCCCATCTTCTCTGCACAAAGCCAGTCTGGTCAAGGGGCCATGAAAGTTCCTCCAGGAAAGCGTTAATACCTCACAGAGCAAGAGTCTTGGAGCCAACACAGGCAGCAGGGCCTTGGGAAGCCCTATTTTAGCATAGAAGGGTTTCATACCCTTCCTGGGTGACAGGACCCAGTGGCTGAAAAGGCTCCTGCTCTATGTCCTGTGACCTGCACGCTCACTCACCTTAGTGCCTGCACCAGGTTGAGGTTGGCAAACTGGTGACATGCCACAAAGGCTTGGAGGATCTGAATGTTTGTGGGGTCCCTGGGAGAAGACAGAGGGAAAAAGGTTAGAAAAGATCTTTGACCCTGCTCAGTTTGGATGTCCCCTGGTGTGACAATGGGCACTGGGCTCCATCCCAGCCTCCACTTCCCCTCTGACTAATGAGGGGCCAAGACGTACACTCTTGTCTGGGAAGACTGACCTCAACAGAGGCATGAGGAGTGGCAGGACATACAGCCAGACTTAGCCACACTCCAAAGGTTCCCCCCTGGAGGGCGCTGCCCACTCACCCCATTGCAGACAGCTGCCTGGGGTCTGCCAGAGGTCATCTAAAGTGGTGGTTGAGAGGGGCCAGGTAGGACAGAGCCTCCAGAGGTCCTCCTCATCCTGACTGGGTTGCTCACCTCCCACCCAGGTAATCCCCAATGGCTGTCTTGTTCAGGCCTTCACCCTTGTGGAGGAATCTGGCAATCTCCTGCAGGTCTGAGGACAATACCTCATGCTCAATCAGGTACTGGATCCCCTGGAGGAGGAGAAGGAAGACAGTGAGGTAAGATGGTGAAGTGATAATGGTTGGACTTGATGATCTTAAAGGTTTTTCCAACCTAAACAATTCTATGATTGTAAGACAGCTCTATGGGCTGATAGGAAAGTAGGACCCCAACACCCTGATGCCTGCCTTTCTTGGCTTTGATGATGTTGCTTTCTCTGTTACTTCCCAGGCCTTTTATGAGAGACCACATCCATGTTCCCTCTCCTGTTCCATCACGCTTAATCCATCATGGTGAGTCAGTCCCTCTTCCATTTCAATGCTAGATTTGAATAAGTGTTTTGATGGTATGGAAACTCAAGCAAACAAAAAAGAGCAGTGTATGTTAAAAGTCCAAAAAGGCAGAGTCAAAATAGTTAATTTTAACATTTTCAATTAAAATATCTTAGTTTTCTATTCCTAAATGTAATTTTTTCCTGTATTAACTTAAAGCAAAAAATATTTAAAAGAAGACATAATTAATAAAAAATATGTACTCAGATAAAAATATGGGCTTGAGACAACTTAAAATTATTTTTTCCTAAATCTTCTTCTATGTCACAGGACAGAGAAGTCTGCAGTCTTTCCAGCTCCTTCCACCCCAGTCAGTAAGTATGGAATATGTTTTTTAAGGAATACTGAGGGTCTGATTTGGGCTGTGCAAAGAGTCATCATCTTGTTTTAGAGGGAATTTCATGATTTTCAAAGTCACAGAGAGTCGAGATTTTGTTCAGATTCTTAACAATATCTAAAACAACTGCAACCCTCCAGACCACATTGCAATTCTCCTCACAAAATACAACAAAGGAATGAAAATTGGTTTAGATCCATCAGAATGTTCTACTTCAACAGAATCGATTCACTTTGCCTTGTGATATGTAAGAAGATATTTCTAAGATGCCTCAAAGAAAAAGCAGTTTCAGAAGAAGAAACTGAAATGTTTGTGAGATTTTTCCACACTGTTTTCCTTTCTTTTTCCCCAGACCAGTTTAATTTTGCAAAGCACTGTGGTGATGATGGGGCTCCATCTTCCAGGAGAAAATGTTTCTCTCAGAAGATTATGTTCAGCCAGATTCCTGATGTTTACCCCCTCTAGCCTCAGGAACTTGCCCTGAGATCTTGGAGGTAGGAACTCAAAGTCTCAGCGTTGCATGGATGTAACCTTAGCAAGAAGGAACAAAGAAAGTTCCTCGCATTGCAGCACCTCTCAGCCTCATGCAGTGTAGCAAAAGGGGAGCAACAAACAGAGACCAGCATAATACAGGCTCACAGTATAACACTTTGACCAGGCTGACGGGCATTGAATTAATAAAGCTAAACCAGTTTGGGGTCAGAACTAGTTCAGGTATTTCTGCATAGCGTGGCACAGTGCCACAGACTGAGATGCCTCTGGGCCCTCAAACCAGGGTTAGACACAAAGACAAAAATGAAATCAACTCTCATGCAGGCTCTAAGTACTGTTATCACTGCTCTGAGACAGCTCTCACTGGCAGAGGGATGTCCAGAGGACTGGAATGCCCTCCAGCTGAGGTTTGGGCACTGGGGAAGGCATCTTGAGGGTCTCAGCAGGCAGAAGAGGCATAAAAACTTGTCACTCAGACCAGCAGCCACCCAAGATGCGAGCTGTGGTGGTTAGCTGAACAATGAGTAATCGTTCAATCGCAGCTTGTGGTTTTCCTTACAGAGCTCAAAAAAAATGGTCCACCAGTGAGGAGGAAGGAAGAGAAAACTATCTTTCTCATATCTTCTCTACTTAGCGTTCAATCGCAGCTTGTGGTTTTCCTTACAGAGCTCAAAAAAAATGGTCCACCAGTGAGGAGGAAGGAAAACTATCTTTCTCATATCTTGTCTACTTAGTCATGACAATTTTTGAGCTTTCTGCAAAGGGTTGAAAGCTATGAGGTCTGGACCTCACTGGTCAGTCCCAGAAAGTGAAAAACCTGGATTCATTCCACAGTCTAACCAGTACTACCAAAACTACCTCCAAAATGACAGAGGTAGCTTGTTGTCTTTTGTTCTCAATGAACAAAGGAACCTGACACACTGTCTAAACTTCTCATCTTCTTCCTACTCCATCATCCTCCATCTATGGCCAATTCTTAGCTTCTCACAGGCATGAAGAGCTGGGCTGAAGATTTGGCTCTTCTGACACGTTGGCACACATTCCTTTATTTCAAGTTGCATCTGACGGGATGGCCTATAGATGCATGATGGGGGGGAGGCAACAAAGCTTAATCCTATCTGAAGACCTTATTCAGGGATAGGATGAAGGGTACTGCTAACTGGAACTTTAGTGAGGTAGGAAACTAGCCCCACAGTGCCATGCTGTAGCTCCTTTGACATGAGTGGCTGCAAGTGGACCAGTAGCCAGCAGAAACTCTTCCTCCCAGCTTCCTTCTCATAAGTGGATCCTACCTTTGCAGGGTCCATGTTGAACTTCTTCCGGCCCAGGGACAATTTATCCCTCTGCGAAAGTTTGCTGCAAACATGAAAAAGAAGGAAAGTCAAAATTAGAATAAAAGGCCTCGTTTCAATTCACTCACAAGGTAACTCACCTATCTCAAGGACAGGTGTTTGACTCTCCAGGATCAAAGAGAAATCTCAGAGGAACGAAGGGTGTTCCTGGCCTCATTTCCCTGTCCTTGTTCTGATCCAAATTCCATTGGTGTTTTTATTTTCTCAGCATCAAGAGAGAGACTTTGTAAGCAAAGGAATATCCATCTTGTCCCACTTGCCTGGTCTGGTCTCCAGGATCATTGTCTGCCTCTTGCCTCTCCTTTGCATTTTGAAAACACTCAATCTCTGTAAACACTTCAGCAATCTCTTCTTTCAGCTTCTACAAAAGAATTACCAGGAGGGTGAAGGCAATGAAGGGAAAAACAGCAGACACATACAAAACACGTCTTACTTATTCCCTGTATAGGGAAATATATAGGAAAAGGACTGGTCAGATAGTCATGAGTAGCCAAGGATTTCTATGAAATGGGCACTGCTCCAGAATCACCCTGCTGGATTCCAGATGAAAACAACGGGAGAGTGGCGCTGCAGGATGTGTGTTGTCAATTGAGGCTGAAAAATCAAGCTTAGCCGGTGTGGAGAGTGTCAGAGAACTCAGCTTGGTGCTGATTTCAGTTCCTCAAAAAATGTCAGCTGTGAGACTCCTTCCATCATGCCTGTTTCCTTCTAACTTTTGCTTTGCATAGCCCTGCTACACATCCAGGAAAGGGGAAGTGGAACCAGTAACTGTGAGGTCAATATGAACCTGAAGTGCCCATATCATGAAATACAGACTTTTTAACATACCTGACACTCAAATACCACTGGGCAGACATCTGTCTTTAGGTGGAGAAAGAAGAGAAGAGGAGTGAAAGAAGAATAATCACTGCCATATTTTAAAAAATCAGTTCTATAATTCAGTTTTATTTAGGTCCATCACAGACCATGGCTTTCTTGGCTGAATATTCTGAGTTACTAAGGAAATGAATATGGCGTCTCCTTGGTCCCATCCTGTGGTTAAGGTCATCCTCAGAGCCAGAGTGCATCTCAGCACTCTTCTGGGAATCACCCAAATTGTTCTCCATGAAAACCAGAATAGGCAGGGGAAGAAGTACTGTTTTATGACAGATCTTGCCTCAACAAGGAGTGAGGATGTGGTCACGATATGCACGCAGATAGAGAAACTGAAGTTCTCCATTATCCCATAATTCAAAAGAGCTTCTGGATTTCAGTTTTGCTCTGGTCTTCATTCTGTTGTGCTTCTCCAGAGCTGGGAGTGTTCCTTACTAAGCTTTAGGTATTGTAAAAATGTAACAAACAGTGATCTCTACTCCCAGTTTCAAATGATTATCAGTTTTGTTTTTTTATTGACCGCAGTCTTTTGGCAGCGTAACCAGCAAATATAGACCCATCCTTTCCCCAACTCTCTCTCCCTGCGCCATATATTCCCCCAAGTCTTTGTGTTAAAGGGTGTTAGATACTTTCTGAAGAAATCCATCTGGGAAAATGTCTCTAGTTTTAGGTACTCTTTTACCAAAACTCATCGTGCTCCATTGGACAACGTATACTCCACTGGTTAATGGCTTCGGGATTTAGAGTATGGGTTTGTGTATTCCAGCAGCTTTTCTCTGTCCATAATGGGTAAAAAATAAAAAATGTAGTATTCCTATTCAAATGTCCTGACTCCTATAATGAGGAGATAAGAACCATGCACAAACAAACCAGATGCACACACATTCATAGACTGTTTTGCAAGAAAGGACAAGATGCCAGGCTGATACGCAGCAGAGATTCTTACCTTAATGTCCTCCAAAAGCTCCTGTCTGTGCTTCCTGATTGTCTCTATTTCAGCCTCTTCAGCCTCAGTAAAGTCAGTTGACCCTGGAAGGACAAAAATATCTCTGATAAAAGTACTGAGGACAACATATCACAGGAAAAGCTGCCTCAACTTCTCAGCATCTATCTTCTCCTAGAATCATTTCACAGCAACTCTAATTTGTGCATTTCAACATCTATGTCCCCTGCTGTTGCAGCCACTGCACCTCAGCTTTGCCTCGCAAATTGTTCTCAGTTCAGAGTGACCAGCACACATGTATTGACCAGTTCAAGAAGCCAGCCGCTGTACTGGTAGCCCTCTGATCTAACCTTGCAACAACTCACCTCGCATACTCAACTGAGTTGGCTCACCACAAGCACAACGAAGAGGTCTTAACAAATGCTCTGTGGTGGGTTTTGTGTCAGTCATCTTCATGTACTGAAAAGCTGTGACCTAAATACTTCATCTACATCCAAACCTCCTATGAAGAGCCACTGGCTTCATGGATTGATCCACCACAGCCAGAGTCAGATATGGCTTAAGGAACATAATTAAGGTTTTTTAAGCTTGAGGGCAGAATCTTGGGGGATGAAAGCCTGGATGAAGAGGGAGTGTCTGTGGGAGGCTGTTGTTCTGTGGACTACAGAAAACACAGAAATATGAGTAGGCTTCCTTGTAATGTGCAGGAAGTTAAACAGATACCAGCAGAGCCAAGACAACCACAAAATGATTCATAAAAGACTTAGAAGAGCTGGGGTTACAGCACGGCTGCTAAATATAATCCAGGTGAAGCTTAGGCTCTTCAGCAAGGAGAACGAGGAGGCTGCAACCCTAGAGAAGCAAAGAAGGTGCTGAGCCCCAGGAAAAAAACACGGGGCTTATACAAGACTGAGACCCCTGGAGCTCCTGGGAGGTCACTCCAGAACTTGCAGACAGCTTTGCTGCACCTGAAAACTGCAAGACAAAGCTTCCCCAGGAAGGTAGGTCAGGTCACTGGATACCCTGCTCCACTGTTTCACAAGCCAAAATCCCCTGGGCCTCCCATCTTCCTGCAAAAAGGGGAAGTGGAAACTCTCTTAGAGTGGATCTCACATGTGAAACAACTGCTATAAATATGAGTGGGGAAAAAAGGAGAAGGAACCAGCCAAGACAGACAGAAGGAAAAAGAGGACAAGGGCAGTCATCTCAGAGCCCATATGCTTTCCTCCTGTTGTTTTCAAGCATTGCATTCCTGGGGAGAGGCTGCTCTGGAAGCCTCTGGGAGGAAAGCATGGGGCAAGAAGCACACATGAAGCCAGGACTGGGAAGGACCCCTATCCCCTCCCAGCTCTGCAAGCAGCTCTCATAAAGAGCTGAAGGAAGCTGACTGATTGCTGAAGCTGATGAAGAGGGGAGAAAAACCTGTGGCATCCAGCAGCTTGCAACAGCCATATCTGCATATGAGGGGTAAACAAGCAAGCAAGCAAGCAAGCAAGCAAACAAAACTCAACTAAACAAAAAGAATCAACAACGAGAAACCCGACGCAGTGGCTTTGCTGCTTGTTAGGCGGGTTGCTGACTTCCCCTTGAATGTCAGCCCTGTGTCTGCCTGGGTCTTTCAGTTTGTCTTATGTCTCACATCGTTCTGGCATCTGCAGGAGATGAGGCCAGCCTCTCCATCTCTCTCACCCCTATAGAGGCTAATAACTGTGGAATCACTGGGGTGATTCCTCAACAAATTACCACTAAGTCCCTTTGTCCTATATTCCTTTCCACAAAAGCATCATAGCAGGACACATCTGAAGAATTTCCCCTTCCCCCACCCCATCAGCAAAGTCTGTGGTGTGGCTGGTTGCTTTGCTTCAGTTGATCTGTGTCTACTGAATCAGCCTAAAACATCTCAAAGAGACATGAGGCTTCCAGAGGACACCATCTCACACACACACACACGACCCCTGTGGAGACTATAAATAACTCAGTCCCCCTCCTCCTGAACATCTGAGAACTCCAGCTCTCAAGTGATTTACGTGTCCAGTTTGTCAGAATGAGAAAACTGGGAAAGGCTGCATATATGGTGAGAGCTGGGGAGAATGCACATACGAGACATGGAAAAAGGGAGAGAATCAAGGAATGAAAGAACAGAAAAAGGTGGCATAGTAAGAAAAAAAAAAAGGATGGTTCAAACTTTCAGAGCAATTTAGACAGAGCTGCAGAGAGGTTCCCTGTAATTTTTCCTAAGTTTCCTAAACAGTCCCTGATTGCCTTGGAAAAAAATTCTGAGGTCAGTGCCTGCATGTTACTCTGCTTCCCTAACAGAAGGCCTAATGCTGTGCTTAAGGCTGTTTTGAGGCTGTTCATCAATATTATTGCACACATTGAGGTCTACACTTAGGGGAAGTGAACACAAAAGTCTCATTTGGGGAACCATCCAGAGAAAGGCAGTGAAGGCAGCAGAGACAGCTGGGCAAGTGTCAGATGAGATGACGACCGCAGGCTCCTTTTTCATTCCTTCCCTCTCCATATTGAGCATGAGCTGAGCTGGCAGGAGAAGCATGCTCCGAGTGAAGCACAGCCTGGCTTCCTCCAGATGCTTGCAATGGCAGAGGGAATTCATCCCTGCACCAGGAGACACGAGGAGTGGCCTCAGCCTTGTCAAAGTCCTCAGCACCACCAAGTTCCACTTCCCCCTAGGGCTAGGTCAGGACACAGATGAAGCATGGCCCTGGTCAGGGTTCTCTGCACAGGGGGAAATTTCACCCTGACAAAGAACATGCCGTGACAACACCCGCAGGTTTCAGGGGGATGCTGTCAGCCAAACCAGTGCTGACATCTTCCAGTTCAGACATGAGGCATAACAAAGTGGATAGCATTCTCCCCAGAAAGGACATGAAGTTGCTGCTTGGAATCTCCCGGCCGGCTTATCGCACATGACAACTTAGTCAGGATCACTTCCAGCCACTTTTGCCTATGGCTCTTACCCCATACATCCTGGAACATAGGAAGTTCCACAAAAATATTAGAAAAAACTTTTTCACTGAGAGGGTGCCAGAGCACTGGAACAGGCTGCCCATGGTGGTTGTGGAGTCTCCTTCTGTGGACGTGTTCCTCTGTGGCCTACTGTAGGTGCCCCTGCTCGGGCAGTGAGGTTGGACTAGGCGATCTTTTGAGGTCCCTTCCAACCCCTAACATTCTGTGATTCTAGCACCTAATACCACGGTACTGGTCTGCTCTCCCATGTTCGACACACGCAGCTCAAGGATTTGACATACTGGCTCTGTGGCCTCATCCAGACAGTCACCAGAGGGTCCTGAAGGAAGCTGGAAGAGGACATCCACTGCAGTGAGAGCAGCTGCCCCACAAATTCATCTGTCTCATCTGCACACAGCTGTGGCAGACAGGTACAATTGCATCTCCAGGTAGAAGTGACTCCAGGAAAAGGTGTATGTCCCCATGTGTTGCCCGATCTAGTTTGAGAGGCATCCCTGCCCATGACAGGGAGGTTGGATTAAAGGATCCCTAAGGTCCCTTCCAGCCTAGGCCATTCTATGATGATGATGATGATGATGATGATGATGTGCATCTCTGACTTTCAGGAAAATCATGCTGTAACCAAGCAGTTATAAACACATCCAGTGCTCTAAAGCTCACTGAAAATCTGTATCTGGCAGCAGCCTTGGCTCCCAAAGTAGAACAGCATCAAACCAACCCACTTTCCCACCCAGCTGTGAAGTGACAGGCTGGGACTGAACAAAGACATCAGCCAGAACCAGCACATCTCTTCAGGCACTGCCTGCCTTCAGGCTCTGCCTCTAGCCAAAGCTTAGCAAACCCGTGTTGTCCCTGAGCAGGATCTCATTGTGCTATTGCAGTGTGCAACTTTTTAGACATAATTAACGCAGTAATTCATAGCTTGAGTGAATGACTCTGTCAGACCATCAGTTTGGAGTGCCTCGGTTTCCGTGGAAAGCACGCTCCAAAATAAGTAGCAAAACATGAGGTACCCCACCTTCTCTTGCTCAGCTTGTCCTGCAGGAGTTTTGTCCACAGTTGCTTTCAGGTGTGAGGGCTGGGTGATGAGACCCACTTCCCTCACCATTCATAACCAGATGCTGACAAAAGCCCAGCTCCCACAAGTCCCACCAGTTTCCCTGAAAACAAGGGCTGGTATGTGGTTTGAGCATGCACTTTCCTTGGCTACCCACCTAGGAGTTAAAAAGTGCAGAACAGTTGTTCAAACTTGGCATTGCTTTTCCCTTCACTCTGTTCTCTGTATCCTACATGCAAAAGGCTGAGGACAGAGAGTCAGACACAGCAGGTCCATTGCAAGATGATCCTTTTTCTTCCTGGCCCTTGTTCAGTCTATTCCCATTTGACTCTTCCTATCTACTGCCTTTGACAGACTCAGAACTTCCTCAGCCAGAGGCTAGAAATGTTCAGTATGCCATTCCCTGCTGAATCTCAACTACTTTATCCACCACCTGTCAAAGTAGGAAATAAAACCTGAGATCTCTCTTGGTTCCTCAGATGTGGCTTTTTTTCCCCTCACCCACCTCTGCCTTTTGAAATTATTTCAGGACCAGGCAAGCCCACCTGCAGGTCACCTGGAGTTGGGTAGAACTCTAATATAGGCATTTAGTTTTTACATGGACATGTGCAAGGGAGGCCCCAGTACCAAAAGCCTTTGCAAGCGTGTTGCACTGGAATATCCAACTGCAGAAGAGGCTCTGCAAACAAACCAACTCCTGGGTACTGTAGAGGAACACCACTGAGGAACATGTAAGCCATGTCAGAGGTGCATGAAGAGAAGCCAAATCTTACAGGTGCTCATCCCAAGTGTCACACGTACCCTTGGTACCCCTGAGTCAGTTCCAAGCTCAGCTCAGGATCACCAGTGCAAGAGATCACAGCAGTGATCTCAGTACTCTCAGCACAAAGGCCTTTCAA